AGAATTTCAGAGTGAAGTGGAGAATCATCGTAACAAAAATAAAAGTTTCTACGATATGATCGCAGAAGTAAAATATTTGAGTTACGAGTTTGGCCTCCAGTTAAAAACAATGTGAAATAGTTTCACTACTCACGCCACCGGGAACACCACAGCATAATGGTGTGTCCGAACGTCATAACCGTACTTTATTAGAGATGGTGCGATCTATGATGTCTCTTACCGATCTACCACTATCGTTTTGGGGTTATGCATTAGAGACAGCTGCATTCACGTTAAATAGGGCACCATCTAAATCCGTTGAGACGACACCATATGAACTATGGTTTGGCAAGAAACCTAAGCTGTCGTTTCTTAAAGTTTGGGACTGCAATGCTTATATGAAAAAGTTTCAACATGATAAGCTCGAACACAAATCGGAGAAGTAAATCTTCATAGGATACCCAAAAGAAAATGTTGGGTACACCTTCTATCACAGATCCGAAGGAAAGTTATTCATTGCTGAGAATGGATCCTTTCTAGAGAAGGAGTTTCTCTCGAAAGAAGTGAGTGGGAGGAAAGTAGAACTTGATGAGGTAACTGTACCTGCTCCCTTATTGGAAAGTAGTTCATCACAGAAATCTGTTCATGTGACTACTACATCGATTAGTGAGGAAGCTAATGATGATGATCATGTAACTTCAGATCAAGTTACTACCGAACCTCGTAGGTAAATCAGAGTGAGATCCGCACCAGAGTGGTACGGTAATCCTGTTCTGGAGGTCATGTTACTTGACCATGACGAGCCTACGAACTATGAGAAAGCGATGATGAGCCCAGATTCCGCGAAATGGCTTGAGGCCATGAAATCTGAGATCCATGTATGAGAAAAAAGTATGGACTTTGATTGACTTGTCCAATGATCGGTGAGCCATTGAGATTAAATGGATCTTCAAGAGGAAGACGGACGCTGATAGTAGTGTTACTATCTACAAAGCTAGAATTGTCGCAAAAAGTTTTTCGACAAGTTCAAGGTGTTGACTACGATGAGAGTTTCTCACTCATATTTATGCTTAAGTCTGTCCGAATCATGTTAGCAATTACCGCATTTTATGAAATCTGGCAAATGGAGAAAAAAACTGCATTCCTTAATGGATTTATTAAAAAAGAGTTGTATATGATGCAACCAGAAGGTTTTGTCAATCCTAAAGGTACTAACAAAATATGCAAGCTCCAGCGATCCATCTATGGACTGATGCAAGCATCTCGGAGTTGGAATATACGCTTTGACAAGTTGATCAAAGCATATAGTTTTATACAGACTTGCGGTGAAGCTTGTATTTACAAGAAAGTGAGTGGGAGCACTACAACATTTCTGATAAGTATATGTGAAAGACAAATTGTTGATCGGAGATGATGTAGAATTATTTTGCAAAGCATAAAGGAATATTTAAAAGGAGTTTTTCAAAGAAAGACCTCGGTGAAGCTGCTTACATATTGAGCATCAAGATCTATAGAGATAGATCAAGATGCTTGATAAGTTTTTCAATGAGTACATACCTTGACAAGATTTTGAAGTAGTTCAAAATGGAACAGTCAAAGAAAAAGTTCTTGCCTATGTTACAAGGTGTCAAGTTGAGTAAGACTCAAAACCCGACCACGACAGAAGATAGAGAGAGAATGAAAGTCATTCCCTATGCCTTAGCCATAGGTTGTATAAAGTATGCCATGCTGTGTACCAGACCTATTGTATACCTTGCCCTGAGTTTGGCAATGGAGTACAATAGTGATCTAGAAGTAGATCACTGGACATTGGTCAAAATTATCCTTAGTGGAATAAGGATATGTTTCTCGATTATGGAGGTGACAAAAGGTTTGTCGTAAAGGGTTACGTCGATACAAGTTTTGACACTGATCCAGATGACTCTAAGTCTCAATCTGGATACATATTGAAAGTGGGAGCAATTATCTAGAATAGCTCCATGCAGAGCATTATTGACATAGAAATTTGCAAAATACTTACGGATCTGAATGTGACAGACCCGTTGACTAAACTTCTCTCACAAGCAAAACATGATCACACCTCAGTACTCTTTGGGTGTTAATCACATAGCGACATGAACTAGATTATTGACTCTAGTAAACCCTTTGGCTGTTGGTCACATGTCGATGTGAAGTATGGGTGTTAATCACATGGTGATGTGAACTATTGATGTTAAATCACATGGCGATGTGAATTAGATTATTGACTCTAGTGCAAGTGGGAGACTGAAGGAAATATGCCCTAGAGGCAATAATAAAGCTATTATTTATTTCCTTATATCATGATAAATGTTTATTATTCATGCTAGAATTGTATTAACCGGAAACATAATACATGTGTGAATACATAGATAAACATAGTGTCACTAGTATGCCTCTACTTGACTAGCTCGTTGATCGAAGATGGTTATGTTTCCTAACCATAGACATGAGTTGTCATTTGATTAACGAGATCACATCATTAGGAGAATGATGTGATTGACTTGACCCATTTCGTTAGCTTAGCACTTGATCGTTTAGTTTATTGCTATTGCTTTCTTCATGACTTATACATGTTCCTATGACTATGAGATTATGCAACTCCCGTTTACCGGAGGAACACTTTGTGTGCCACCAAACGTCACAACGTAACTGGGTGATTATAAAGGTGCTCTACAGGTGTCTCCGAAGGTACTTGTTGGGTTGGCGTATTTTGAGATTAGGATTTGTCACTCCGATTGTCGAAGAGGTATCTCTGGGCCCTCTCGGTAATGCACATCACTTAAGCCTTGCAAGCATTGCAACTAATGAGTTAGTTGCAGGATGATGTATTACGGAACGAGTAAAGAGACTTGCCGGTAATGAGATTGAACTAGGTATTGAGATACCGACGATCGAATCTCGGGCAAGTAACATACCGATGACAAAGGGAACAACGTATGTTGTTATGCGGGGTGACCGATAAAGATCTTCGTAGAATATGTGGGAGCCAATATGAGCATCCAGGTTCCGCTATTGGTTATTGACCGGAGACGTGTCTCGGTCATGTCTACATTGTTCTCGAACCCGTAGGGTCCGCACGCTTAAGGTTTCGATGACAGTTATATTATGAGTTTATCAGTTTTGATGTACCGAAGGAGTTCGGAGTCCCGGATGAGATCGGGGACATGACGAGGAGTCTCGAAATGGTCGAGACGTAAAGATCGATATATTGGACGACTATATTCGGACATCGGAAAGGTTCCGAGTGATTTAGGTATTTTTCGGAGTACCGAAGAGTTATGGGAATACGTGGGCCTTATTGGGCCATACGGGAAAGAAGGAAAAGGGCCTCAAGGGTGGCCGCACCCCTCCCCTTGGTCTGGTCCGAATTGGACTAGGGAAGGGGGGGCGCCCCCTTCCTTCCTTCTCCTTTTCCCTTCCTCTTTTCCTATTTCATATGGGAGGTGGAATCCTGCTAGGACTAGGGAGTCCTAGTAGGACTCCACACTTGGCGCGCCCCCTCCTAGGGCCGGTCTCCTCCTCCCTTTCTCCTTTTATATACGGGTGCAAGGGGGCACCCCAAAGACACAACAATTGATCCTTGAGATCTATTAGCCGTGTGCGGTGCCCTCCTCCACCATAATCCTCAATAATATTGTAGCGGTGCTTAGGCGAAGCCCTGCGACGGTAGAACATCAAGATCGTCACCACGCCGTCGTGCTGACGGAACTCTTCCCCGACATTCTGCTGGATCGGAGTCCGGGGATCGTCATCGAGCTGAACGTGTGCTAGAACTCGGAGGTGCCGTAGTTTCGGTGCTTGATCGGTCGGGCCGTGAAGACGTACGACTATATCAACCGCGTTGTGGTAACGTTTTCGCTTCCGATCTACGAGGGTACATAGACAACACTCTCCCCTCTTGTTGCTATGCATCACCATGATCTTGCGTGTGCGTAGGAAAATTTTGAAATTAGTACGTTCCCCAACATCGACAACAGTCGGTGTGTACATCATGTAGAGCATAGTCGTCATCCATCATGGTGAATGCTGGATCGACCATGTCGCGAGCTCATCGTGATCGTTGTCCATGTTGGCAAGCGGTGCTTGGCTATGTCGCTGAGAGCCTGTTGATCGTACACCCATAAGAAAAAAGATATGTTATATTTTGTTGTATTAAGAAACTGGTTATTGTCAATTAATAGTAGAGATAATAATAAATGGCATAGCGCGCAGAGTAGTGATTTGTTGCGGGAATATCTGATTGTGTTTTGAAAGGTTATCAAGAAATATCTTATGTCTATCTTTTAGCAGGTGGTCTCACATATATGATGCGATTTTTGAATTATTAATTATCTTTTATTATGTAATTGAATTGAATCAGCAACTGTCAAGGCAAGCATGAAACAAGATCCTCTTAATGGGCTTTAGTTTTTTAACGGGAGGAAGAAAAACCAGCGAAAGGGATAATGAAAGGTGGGATAAAAAAAAACCAGATAAAAAAAACCATACCAGGCTACCAACTCTTAACTAGGAGTAGAGATTTTGCTCCGAGCACGAGCAGAAGACGCAACGCACATCAAAAATCTCGCGACGACGAAACGTCGCCCTCCTCTCCCCCGATCCGCACGCCGGCACCGTTTTCTTTCCTTCTCTATCCACTGGCAACTTCGGCGACCGATTCATGCCCAACACGCAATAATTTGCCATGCCCAACCGGCCGCGCACTTTCTCATTTCAGTCGCGGCGCTGTGGTAGCTCTGGGCTTCAAATGCCGGTCTCCGCTCGCTTCATTATTCGCCTGAGCATGCAGTAATTCCTCCGGCTCGGCACCGGTTCCTGAAATTTCGTCCCACTTCCAGAATTATCTTGGCCCGGCGCCGCGTCGAGGCTGGATTTTTAGAGTCAAACATTGGAATCTTCGCCGACACGGACTGGACTTTCTTTGAGCAAAATCGCTTGCCTGCTACCCACCCGCTGAGCTAGAGATTGGATTCGCGGGGGCGTTCCGGCGGGGGGCGAGCATGACGATCGATTTGTCCACCATGCCCGGGAGCTCCTCCTCCCGTCTCCTGGACGCCGCCGCGGGGAGGAAGGACATGAACTTCTTCAAAAACCGCTACGTGCTTGGGCTCACCGGCGTCGCCGGAATCGGCGGCTTCCTCTTTGGATACGACACAGGTACGGATGCTTCCGCCGTTTTCTTTTGCAACCTTTACTTAACAATTTCTATGCTGTATGGGGCGGTTGCTGCGTTCTTGATGTGGGCAAGAGCTTTAGGCCTCTAAGAACTATTCCCCTTTGTAGGAGGCGTCGGTTTGCGGTTTGCTTTGTGGCCTGAAATCTGGTGAATTTGATATTGTGAATCGTTTGTTTGTTTGTTAGAACATTATCGATGATTGATATTTATAAGCTTCGCAGTGAAATGGACTTTATGGATAATATTGTAGACATTTCATTTCCGATAAAGGACACATTATATGCACCATGAAAATAGAAAAAAAAACTGTGCAATGGAGCTGAAAGCCTGAAGCTAATGTTTGTGTGATGCTTTTTAGTTTCCACGAGGTCTCTGAGTAAACATTCTCGGAAACCTTGGAACTAGTGAAACTGTGCTGAAATAAGTCAAATAACAGTATAATTTTCATGCATAACTACTGTCAGGTGTCATATCTGGAGCCCTTCTGTATATCCGGGACGAATTTCCTGCTGTCAAAGACAATCTATTCTTGCAGGTTCAATCTGATCTACTACCAATTACTAGTCATTAACATCTGGTGTTCCTCCCATAATGACTGAGTTTGTTTCTTCTTCAGGAGACAATTGTTAGCATGGCTTTACTTGGAGCCATCCTTGGAGCAGCTGGGGGCGGTTGGATAAATGATGCCTACGGTCGTAAGAAGTCTACTCTTCTTGCTGACCTGATGTTCGCACTTGGTTCACTGGTTATGTGCGCTGCTGGCGGTCCTTATGTTCTGATTCTTGGAAGGCTCTTTGTTGGATTGGGTGTGGGAATAGCATCAGTCACTGCCCCCGTTTACATCGCTGAAGCTGCTCCTTCAGAAATCAGGGGAGGTTTGGTGTCAACTAATGTCCTCATGATTACCGGTGGCCAATTCTTCTCCTACTTGGTGAATCTTGGCTTTACTGAGGTAATATTCATCCTCCACTTAGTCAGCTTCCTCCCTTATTTTTCATTTTTTTACTTGAAATGGCTTTCAGCATCAGTCCCTTGACTCCATTTCATGTACAAACAACTGGAAATTGAGCCATTTCAATCTCGATGATACTGCTGTCTGCAGTCTTGTTACATTTTATCTTTAAACTCAGCAAGAAAGCAACTTTTGTTTCGTTTCAGACTTTCAGTTGCTTTGCAAGCTCTAGTCATCTTGGTCCACTTTTTCTAAGCAGACTATCTTGCCAGCTCAATTATTATTAGTAGTGCATATGACTTTTCATGGTATCAACGAGATAATTAACTGACCTGCACTGATACTCATGTGTGTTTCCTGCACACGAACGATGGGCAAAGTGCAATCTCTAATGTTCTTCAAGATGAACTCTCCTGAGAAAGTTTTTCAGTACGGTGACAAGTTAATCCTAATGTTCACCCTTTTATGCATATACTCCCTCCGTTCCAAAATAGATGACTCAACTTTATACTAAAGTTAGTATAAAGTTGAGTCATCTATTTTGGAACGGAGGGAGTATCTTTTATGGCGTTAACATTCTTGTTGGTGCTAGTTGATTGCATAACACTCTTTCTTATCAATGAATGAGAGTCGGCCTTCCCCCATCAGCAGCAATGGACTTGTCACCTACAAGGTGCTGTTTGGTGCGTAGCAACTTTGGTGTTGGTGAAATGCTCCATCTTTCTGCTTTGGAAGTTATTCACACTAGCTGCATCGTTGCTATTTCGTCGAATGCACATCTTACCATTGCCTGGCACATGGATGATAAAAATTGATGAGACATCTGGCTAGCATAGCATCTATAGTTCTGTTTGTTGTTAGGGAGCAGAGTAGAACATTCATAGTCTCATACTGATGATTGTGGGTGTTACAGATCGGTCTGGGTTGAAGCTGTGAGACCCGTAGGCCATTTTACCATTGCCTGACACATGGATGATAAAAATAGATGAGACATCTGGCTAGCATAGCATCTATTGTTCTGTTTGTTGTTAGGGAGCAGAGTAGAACATTCATAGTTTCATACCGATGATTGTGGGTGTTACTAATCGGTCTGGGTTGAAACTGTGAGACCCGTAAGCCATTTTACCATTGCCTGGCACATGGATGATAAAAATAGATGAGACATCTGGCTAGCATAGCATCTATTGTTCTGCTTGTTGTTAGGGAGCAGAGTAGAACATTCATAATCTCATACCGACGATTGTGGTTGTTACAAATCGGTCTGGGTTGAAACTGTGAGACTCGTAGGCCATTTTACCATTGCCTGGCACATGGATGATAAAAATAGATGAGACATCTGGCTAGCATAGCATCTTAGTTCTGTTTGTTGTTAGGGAGCAGAATAGAACACTTAGTCTCATACCGATGATTGTGGGTGTTACAAATCGGTCTGGGTTGAAACTGTGAGACCTGCAGGCCATTTTTTTGCACTTGTTTCACTCAGTTTTTGATTAATGAAGGGAATTGAACTAGAATGCAAGCTGCCGGTTTCCACAGGTTCATATGGAACTGTTTTTGGACACTCTTAAATAGGATGGTAACTGTTATTCAATAAGTATTGTTAAGCACCCGCATTAGGCAAAAAAAAATCTTGCAAAAGAAGATAGAAAACAATACAATTATTGATAAGCCTTGACACATGAATAAACGGGGGAATGGTCATATGGCGCCATCCTTGTTAAAACTAATAGGGTTTGGTGGAGTTATTTTTAAGCTGTTTTTGTATCAGTATTTTGTTGCAATAATATTCACGCTAATTGTCATAGGTTCCTGGAACATGGCGCTGGATGCTCGGAGTTGCTGCCGTGCCAGCAATCATACAGTTTGTGCTGATGCTTTTTCTGCCAGAATCTCCCCGCTGGCTTTACCGGAAGGTTATTGGTGTTTGTTTCAGACTTTCAGTCATGTCTTATTCCTTTGATCCGTTTTTGTTTTCTTATCTTGATTTTTCTGTACAGGATGAGAAAGCAAAAGCTATTGCTGTCCTGGAGCAGATATATGACTCTGGTCGTCTGGAGGAAGAGGTTGAGCTGCTTGCGTCGGCTTCCATGCATGAATTCCAGTCTAACTGTACTGGGAGCTATTTGGACATATTCAGGTTGAAGGAATTAAGGCTAGCTTTTTTTGCTGGGGCTGGCCTTCAGGTACTTTTAACCTCTGCCTCACTCTCAGTCATTGTCGTGTGATAATTGCGAATACTGCTAAGGCGCTTGTACACTGGAAATGCACCTTCCAAGATAATCCATTTTGGCATTTCAGTATCAGGAAGCGTAACTAGACACTTTTTTTAACACAACTAGACACTTTTCGGTACTAAATCCTTTTGGGAGTGCCACCAGGTCAAGCAAGAAACTTGGTAGTCTACCTTGCTATGCTACCTGAATGCATCATACAGTAGGAACATCAAGTTGACAAATGCATGGCACTTTTTCTGACATGTATACATATGGAACTATGCAGGCCTTCCAGCAATTTACCGGCATCAACACTGTCATGTACTACAGCCCCACGATCGTCCAGATGGCTGGGTTCACTTCCAACAGGCTGGCCCTGCTGCTGTCCCTCGTCGTCGCCGCCATGAATGCCAGTGGAACCATCGTCGGAATCTACCTCATCGACCGTTGTGGCCGCCGCCGCCTGGCCCTTACAAGCCTAGCCGGGGTCGTGCTCTCCCTCGTCATCCTCGCCACGGCCTTCATACTGCAGTCATCGTCCAGCCTCTGCGGGAGCCTGTTCAGCGGTTCCTGCCAAGGCGTGCTGGGGTGGTTCGCGGTCGGAGGGCTCGCTCTGTACATCGCCTTCTTCTCTCCGGGCATGGGGCCGGTGCCGTGGGCCGTGAACTCGGAGATCTACCCCGAGGCGTACCGCGGCATGTGCGGCGGCATGTCGGCCACCGTCAACTGGATCTCCAACCTGATCGTGGCGCAGACGTTCCTGTCGATCGTGGGGTGGGTCGGCACCGGCCCCACGTTCCTGATCATCGCCGGGATCGCCGTGCTGGCCTTCATCTTCGTGGCCCTGTACGTGCCGGAGACCAAGGGCCTGAGCTTCGAGGAGGTCGATCTGCTGTGGAAGGAGAGGGCCTGGGGAAGCCAGGGCAGCCACGAGAGCCTCCTGGGTGCTGCGCCGTAAGACCACCCGCCGGCTCTGGTCCTGCACGGCGGCGCGTCGCAGGCATAACATGGCTCCGCGGCTGCGCCCCGCCGCGCCTGGCTGGCTCGCGGTGATCGCTGGCCTCTAGCTAGGAAGGGAGTCTTAGAAAGAACTGGATGGACGCAATATCATACACAAATCACGAACCTGTATCAATGGCGGTGTGTTCTGTGCCTCGTTATATATGTTGTCGTAGTCGCGTGTTCACTTCGAATATGGTTGAGTTGAAGCGACCGTATGACCGAGAAGTGGCAGTATTGTTTGTGCATTGCCGGCACGAGTGTACCCAAGAACCAAAGAGCAAGAGCTCCGCTGGCAGTGATGGTTGGTAGATGGACAAAACTGATGTCTTCAGCAGTTTA